AAAATGGATAAAAAATGTTTAATTGTTATAAATAATTTAAAATGGAGATATTATATAAATGTGTAGGTATGTAATCAGTGTAATAGAATTTGTCACATCGTACTATAGTCAGGGCAAATTAACACAGACCAGGATTTGGAAGAAGTCGGTTTAGTAACAAAAATGCAAAGAAATGTTCAGCTGTCAAAATATAAAATTAAAAAAAAAAAGAAAGAAAAAAGAAAAAGGAAGACAGAAAAGAACATTTAGCAAGGAAAGGTTATCCATCTATCCTTTTGTCTCTTCATTGTGTGGACTGCGGTCCCATTGTCTCTTAGCCACGTGTCGATATTAGCTGCCAAGAATCACACCATTAACCGCCTAAGCTCTCACTAGTCTATGTGCTAATCAGCTCTTTAATCACACAAGTTTTCTTATTTTTTTTAATCGCAACGTTTAAAATAGTACATTTCACATACGTACTTTATATTAACCATCATTTATGACTTATATATTGTAACAAAAAATAAATACAAATATAATTTTGTAGGAACTTGTTATTCATCATTATGATAAAGGTTCACAAAAGAAATATTTACTAAATAAGTAGTAATATTTACTCCTTGTAATTAGTACTACATAATATTATAATATTTACTAAAATGTAATCTAAGATGTTAATTATATAAAACGGGCATTGTCAAGAGTAAAATCCTTACAAAAGAGATTGCTTAATTACTAATTACTATATTTTCTTTTACCAGTAACACTTCGTGATACGTATTTTTAAAAAGGGATCACATAATGTAGACGAACAATTTAAATTAATCACGATAATGTATACATAGTATCTAATTTAGCCCTTCCATATAATCGATGATAAAACTATTTTGACAAAGTCATTTATTTACCTTCTTTAATCATTCGACATTTCCTACAAGTAAAAGAAAATAAGGAAGTAATAATCTTTCCATTTTAATTTTAACCGTTAATTGCTCACTTTATTTTCACCTATTCCATGAAAAAAAAAAGGTTCAGAAAGTTACACATCCCTACCTTTTACAAAGTTTGAGACAACTCTTATAAATAATGTTTGGACAATAATTATACCTTCTAAAATGCTCATTTACTTTTTTGCCCTCATTAATGTTAATTGTCTTTCCTCTTTTTTTTTTTTTTTTTTTTTTAACTCTTAAGAATAGTGAAATTTTCCTCATTAATACTACCAAAAATTAAAGTTGTGACATAAGATATAAAAAAAAATTGCTCTTCGAACATGGTTAGATATGGTGTGCGCACCACGCGCATTAGCCACTCTAGCGTAAAATAAGTTTAGAAAATCATGCCACAAGTTTAAATAATCAACCCTTATCAAAACTTATTTTAGTTTTAAACTAAACTTAAGTAGCACTTATATATTAACTTATATATTAATCTTAATCAAAACATATTTTTCCTGAACTTAGACTTGTCAAATCTTATAAAAACTTATTTTCCCTAAAATTAATAAGTGGAAATGTGGTGTACATAATAGAGGCCTATTCAAGTACTCTTTCCGTCCTTTAATTACATACATTTATTTCTTTTAGAGGTGCCTAATTACAGTATTTTGCCTGTTTCATAATTTTTCCATTTAAAGGTTGTACCTTTTGACACTAGCGTATTTTATTAATGTGTAATTTTAATAATTTTTGAATTAAGGAATTAAATAAAACCGCACAAAAAAACAATATAGATGCTTAGAACTCATTTTTTCTAATCATATCTAATCTGAACTTATTATTTTTTCTAAACTAATTTAAAATAAAAAATAAAGTCTTAAAATAAGGTAAACTAAACATAGCCTAAATTAGAATTGAATTGAAAATGTTATGCACAACTACGGTTAACATTTACAAAAAGAATTTGAATGCAAGAATATTCATAACACTTAAAACACCCAATTAATAATATAACATAATAAGAAGTATATAATTAACTTCGAAAATATGCTCATACAACAAGTGTATTATTTTAACAACCTTTGTGGCTCACTTTGCCAGAACAAAAGCAATAGGAAAAAGTATGGTACAATAGCCTCTTGTGCTAAATTCACCCCCCTATTTTACAGAGCACAGAGCTTATGTACCCTAATTTTTGGAAAATTCTCAACGGTGACCCCCTAGTTTTGCTACGCATCAACGGTGACCTCCCCTTTTTTTATTATACAAAATGCCTCCAATTAAAAAATTTATCTCACTTATGACATTAATAAGAGTTATTAATTAAAAAAAACTAACTATGGTTAGCTTTGAAAAAATAAAACTAAAAAGAAAAACCACCGACCCAACCACCACCTCCACCCTCATCCCCACCAGATCTAACCAGCACCACCTCCGCCTTCACCGGAGCCACCAAACTCCCTCATTTGAAACGCCGACACCTCCCACCCAAACCGCCGAACCATCCCTCGATCCTTTCCTCCACCTAGACCCAAACCCTAACCACACAACTCTTTCTCCTCTGACCTTCGATTCTCGCCGCCTCGCCGTGGGTAGGTTTTGGTCGAGGTCTCGAGGAGTGGTGGTGGGATTAGGGTTTGAGGTTTTGATTTCTGGGCAGAGATCGAAGAAGATAAAGAAATCGAGAGAGGGTGGAGAAGAAAGAGAGAGAGAGATCGATGGTTTGGTGGTCTAGGGTTGGTCGTGGTTTGGGTTCGGCGGTCTGGGGGTGGTCGGGGTTCTGAGTTCGACGATCTAGTGGTGGTGACGGTGAGAAGGAGGAGAGGGAGGGTTGTGGGCGGGGATTTGGGAATCTAGGGCTTGGCGGTGGTCGAGGTGGAGTTGGCGCAGGGTCATCGGCGGTAAGGGGAGGCTGGGTAGCGTTTTCGGCGATCGGAGGAACCTGGGTAGTGTTGCCGGAAGGGAGATGGTGGCTGGCAGGTGGTGGTTGATTTTTGGTGGTTGGGATTAATTTTTTTAATATTTCTTTTTTTAAAAAAATATAAATATAACCATAGTTAATATTTAATGAAATAAGGTTATGAGTAGGATGAAATTTTTAACCAAGGTCATTTTGTATAATAATAAAAAAAAAGGATCACCATTGGTGCGTAGCAGAAGTTGGGGGTTACCTTTGAGAATTTCACCTAATTTTTTTGTGTCTACACAACGTACAACACACATCTTATTAATTATATATCTAATTATATCTTATTTGATCACTTAATTAGGCCTTCTTGTTCTCTTCGTTTTTTAAAATTAGGCCTTTTATTTTTACTTCACCTAATTGATTTTATCTAATTGAAATTTTATTTTTAATTATAATGATTTTTATTGACTAGAACTAATTTTACAATTCCTCAAAAAAACTAATTTTACAAAATAATACCCGGCTCCTTTTTATTGATTTACATTTTTTTTTTATCCGCTAAAGACTAAGTTTTTACTTAATACAATTAATCAAAAAAATTAAAAACAACTCTATTTTACTTAATATTCAATTTTATTTATGTTATAAAAATATTAGATTGCAACGATAATCTTAGGTCAAAGTTATCCATCTCCTCTTTAGTTTTTTGTTGTCCCGCCTTATCAACATCTTTGTCTTCCGATCCACCAGATTCATTATCCAATATTTTCTTCAAATATATTCCTACTCGTATCATATCCCTATTATTAATTTTCCATGATCATGCACTAAAAAAATGTGGTGTAAGTGCTCTCTCTCTACTAAGAAAGTCGACAAGTTTACAAACATTGTTTAAAACGTAAATAAATTAATTAAATATATATGCGCTAGTTATTAAAAAAATCCATCAATTTCTTTTTAAAACCTTTTCTAAAATATGTTACTTCATATCAAATAGTTTTTAGATAATATGTACTTTTACAATCTTATTACTCCATATTATATTTGCATTTAGAAATTCCTTAAACAAAAACTATTTGGATTTAGAAATAAAAAATAATAATTTATTAAACTAATAGTTCAATTTTTTATAATATAAATAGTTTAGTAAATATAATCATTTAAGAGGTACTAAATTTCAATTGCCAATCACTTGTCTAATCAGTTAGTGAATATTGATGACTGACTTTGTGAGTGAAGAGAGAAAAAAAAGACTAATATCAATGTCCCTTTAGAGATTTCTTACCCTCTTAGCTAGATATTTAATACGGAATTAACAAACATTATATTGCCATTTGTTGTACTGCCATTACGTTATATTATTTCTCCTTAACATGCATGTTTGTGATCAAAAGTTATATTTTATTACTCTCTCTTTTCTTTAGGTATTTTAGTTAAAATGTACGTACAAGATAAGTGTGTATTAGATATTTTAGGTGCACATAAAATACAACAATAGTTAACTTATAAAATAGAGATAGATGTAACAATGTCATCATAGTGTATATTATTTGGCATATTTGAAAGGTTATGTGAATAATAAATCAATGTATACCACACAAGTCTATCAACAAATGACATACTACTACCTTTGTTTAATTTACCCATTAAAAGTATTTCCTTTTGGTTGTTTCAAATTAAATTGATGTCAATCATACTAAAATTTTAGAGACAATCACATCACACGAGTGGTTTCTCTCACTATCCCTAAACCTTATCGCATGGGTGAAGAATCTATATAAATTTTCTCTACCTTATATCTCATTACCTGAGTTTTCTTAATAAACGTGTTGATAAATGATAAAACTTAAAGTATAAAGTAAAGAATCTATTCTATTTCCATGTTTATACTTATTCATTATTTTAAAATTTAAGAATAAAAATAAAAATTGAAACAATCTATCTTTGTAATATAAACACGTGATTAGTTTGAAACCATACTCTAATAATCATCCTGTTTTATGGTAGTGATGTAGTAAAAACGAAATTTTAAAAATAAAAAAAAATTGGTTTGTTTTCTCACTAATGACCACCACAGAGTATCATTACCCAACAAAAGGATGGGACCCACAATCTCATGTCATGCATATAAAAGAATGGGGCCATCCAACTTCAACCAACATTTTAAGGCTCCTTCTCTCCTCTCTTTTCTTCTCTTTCAACATCATCTCTCTTATCAAGTACAAGTACAACCTCCCCTGAAACCCATAAAATAAAATATCACCCAAATCATTACACTAACTTACAAATAATTTCAAGTAATCTGTTCGTTCATATATTTCCGTGATATTATCTATGGATAACACCCACTCACCGGCGGCGGCGGCGGGTGGCGAGCCACAGGAGACTATGTCGCAGCCGCAGCCGCCACCGCAGCCGCAGCTACCGCCTGGCTTCCGTTTTCACCCTACCGACGAAGAGCTCGTCGTTCATTATCTCAAGCGAAAAGTCCAATCTACCCCTCTTCCTGTCTCCATCATAGCTGAGATTGATCTCTACAAGTTCGACCCCTGGGAACTTCCTGGTAATTCCCCTCCCTTTTTTTGCTTATGTCAAATTAATAAATAAATAAATGATTGAATCATAATCATAATCATAATCATAATCTATTAATATTATTATTGTTATTATTAGTATGATAGTTTTAATAATTATTGTTTATGTTGTTTGATTAATGAACAGATAAGGCCGTGTTTGGGGAGCAAGAGTGGTATTTCTTTAGCCCAAGGGATCGGAAATACCCGAACGGAGCACGGCCAAACCGTGCGGCAACATCGGGTTATTGGAAAGCCACCGGAACAGACAAGCCTGTCTTAAGCAGTGGTAATCAAAAAGTGGGTGTTAAAAAGGCTCTTGTGTTTTACGGTGGTAAACCTCCTAGAGGTGTCAAGACCAATTGGATCATGCACGAATATCGTTGGGTTGACGCTTCTAAACCCAACAACAACAAACCCCCAGGTTATGATCTTTGTCATAACAAGAAAGGGGGTTCGTTGCGGGTAATCTATCTATTCATTCCCTTATGCGACTTCATATACTACCTCTGGTTTTTTTATTATGTGCAACAAAGAAATATTTTATATATCATATCCTTTTGTTATGCTTATTTTAATTTATTACTCGAAAGATAATATATGTATGTCGTGTTTTAGACATAGATATATATGATGCTGATGATGTGTTTTACAACATGGTTGTAGTTGGATGATTGGGTGTTATGTCGAATATACAAGAAGAATAACACGACCCGGCCAATGGATCACGAGCAAGACGATTCCATGGAGGATTTGATGATGATGGGAGGTTTGTCGTCGTCTATGTCGATGTCATGTAATCCAACCTCAATAAACAACATTGGACTTCATCAACCAAAGGCAAACACAAACTCTTTAAACTACGGGTCGTTTCTCAATACTTCTCATGTTGTTGATCAACAAGGCTTGTTTGAAGGAATGATGGGTGGTACTCATCATGGAGCTCCTTCCTCGCCGTTGTTGCCTCTCAAGAGGTCTTTGCCGTCCCTATACTGGGGCGATAATGATCATGACTCAGGAGGTGGTGGTGGTTGTAGTCCTGGCAAGAGATTGTGGATACTCCAGATGAGCATCGACAATAATAACAACAACAACGACGACAACAACAATACTATTGTGGCCAATAACAATAGTAGCGAGGAAAGTGGAGCAAGGAGTGATCATCATGACAACAACAACAACAACAACCTCAACAACATCAATTCCATGTCTGGTCTTCTCAACCAACTTCCATCTCAGACAACACCGCCGTTGCACCAACAACAACCGATGCTAGGGGGACTTTCCGACGGGGTGTTCAGGCAACAATATCCTCTTCCTGGATTAAACTGGTACTCGTAATTGCCTCCGAGTTCCGGTTTAAGTGATGATTATTATTGATTAAGATATATGATGATTATTCATATCTTAATGATTCTTAACCATGAATTATATGCCTTACTACTCGTATATACACTTAGCTTAGTCATATACTATATAGTTTGATTAGGCATCATGTAGGTATATATTGATTAATTTCGAGTTTTTCGGTTGTTGAAGAGAGATTTATAGGAGAGGCAAGGGGGGGTGTTCAATTAATTAATGGGCCTCATATAGGTTTTAGCAATAATTGCACAATTATCTAGTTGATAATGCAGTATTAACCCCCCTAAACATCTCTCCTTCACCAAAAACAGGGTATATATATATATATATATATATATATATATATATATATATATATATATATATATATATATATATATATATATATATATATATATATATAGTACATATATTTGTATACAATATATTCAAAGATAATTATATATTGAACATTATTGTAGAATTAATAAAAGACAATGTTAATTTTTGATAACTTTGCATTGGATCTTTAATTAGGCCTTTTGTATAAAGTTTGTACTGTATTATTATTACTATAGAGCTAACTTTTGTGGCTACTATTGTCGAACATATATATATATAGATGAATAAAATCTTGTTTCTATATATTTGGTTAATTGATTATCATTAACTTTGATGTGAATTGTTTTTTATGCAAATTGTAATTCAGATTTCTTGAAATGGTATTGGGTGCAAGCATCGTCTCATCATGCAGCACAACATTCACTCAACAAGTTTTGTAGTCCCTTTTAAAGATTTTCTCTCACATATTAACAATTTTATTATCATCAATTATTAAAGGTAACAATTTATATATTTTATTTTGTTAATCATTTACTAATTTTTGGTAGTATTTCTATTACACCGAAAGCGTTTAAATGAATTTAAAATTTGGTATCACAAAATATAACATTTCTTTGGGCCGTTAAATAATCACAATTTATTTTAAATTTTTATTTGCACTCTTGTAATTTCTATATAATTCATTACCCTTTTTAGGCTTTGTTCATTATTTATTGAAATTTTTTGCTAATTTAATTTATTAGGATTTCCATCTTACATCTGATTAGATGTCAATTAAAATCACACTTTCTTACATCCACTTTCCTACTCTGATTAAGGGTTTTTTTTGTTGTATTTTTTTATTACTCTGTATAAGTTTGTGATTGAATTTGGAATTTTTTTTTTCTATTTTATTTGTCTCCATTTTGTAGGTATACATGCAAAATAGCTTTCAGTTAGTTTCGAATTGAATAAGTAATTAAAATTTTATTTTATAGCAAATGTTGGGTTATTAGAGTGAAGTTGTTGTTGCATGTGTGATTATTGCACCCAACACTTTGATTTAGTGAGCTATACTCTTGAGCATATTATTTTGATCAAGAATAATTTCAGCCTATATAATCTAAGCTTGAGAAGATACATGGAATGTTAGAAAGCACCATGCAATTTGCCTTAAATTTGATTCTTGTGATTGAAAACCAACCTTAGCTTTGGGAAACTTTAGCCATTCAGAAACCCTAGAAAGGTAAGAATCTTATTTCTATCTATATTTACACTTTGTACCATAAAGTCATATTAGCATGATTAAAGATGATGTCGATAAATTAAAGATGATACTAACTATTAATGTTTATGACTAATGTAATTAGGCAACAAATGTATCCAATGAAAATTTTGAAACCCATACTGTTGATGCATATGATATTCACTAAACTAATTTATTTTTTCTACCTAGTTTATAAAAGGGTGGTAATTAAATATCTTGTTGTCCCTTCATGAACAATGATACATGTGAATATTGAATTATCATCACTTTATTATCTTTTATTTTGATTTTTCTTGAAATGAACTATGAGTTTAAGGTTTTGTTTGGTTTGAAGGAAAGTTACTTTTTAAACAAGTAGCTTTTCAATTTCCTTTGTTTGCTTTATAAAGGAGTGTATGTATAATTTTCTTTGGTTGAAAAAACCTCGATTTTGAAAGAGAGAATGCTCCATTTTTCTTCTTATCCCTTACCTTCATCGTCTTCATCATATCTTCATCTCTCCATCCCTTCCCTCAATTTCACTTTTTTCTTTTCTATTTTATCTTTCTAGCAAGGATCGAACTAGATAAAAAAAAAAAAAAAATTATCTTGTATAATAAGATTTCCATATAAAATTAAAATCAGTCATAAGATTTCCTTTGAACAAAATACCAAATACAACCTAATTATTATCCCAATTGTTCTTTTTGTTCTTGATATTTTCTTTTTTCACAATTTACAGTGCAAACTTAATCTTAAATATCTTTAATTATGTAATTGCAAAAATTAGACTCAATCCAATAAGTTGATATATACAATAACAATGCAACCTTCAAATGTTATACGGAGTAGATCTTTAATTATGTGTTTGCAAGAATTAGAATCAATCCAATGAGTTGATACATTTACATATACAAATTAAAATGAATATATTCCAAATTGAAAAAACAAAGCTATAACTAATTATTCTTAACAGGTTTATAGTAAGCTATACAAGAATTTTGTTTTTTATGAGCTACAAAAGATATGATGTTGCTAGATTAGATGAATAAATCTTTTTGTACAATTTATAAATTTAAGCATGGTATACAATATCCTAGATCCTTTATTTTTCTCTTCACTCAAGATTATTCATCTTGATTATATTACTCCGTAATTCCGTATAATCATAATTGTAAAAATTTAAGTATAAATCTATTTTTAAAACAATAATTTATAATGTGGACAAAAAATACTTGTATTATATTTTATTAATAATAGTACTTGGACAAATATATTTTTTGATATTGATTATATCTCATATCTCAAACAAGTTATATAAAAAAATATATAAAAAAATAGACTAGTACTTTAATTCCTTATAATTTATATCATATTTGAAATATTTTTTGATCTCAGCATAGAGATACTTTAATTCTGAAGAGTCTTTTTTTCCTGAAAAAAAATAAAATAAAATTAAAATTAAAATAAATTATGAAGAGTATAAGTGTATTCATGTAATCATGAGTGTAATCTTGTCAGATTAGCTAGTCTCGACTTGTAGTGTCAAACATTCAATCTCAAATAATGAATTTTTTAATATTTGTATTAGAACATATTAATTTTCAAATGTGTTGTGCATTTGAAATTATGGAAAATATACAAATGAGATAATTTAAACAAAAAGAAATAAAAGGAGCATGTTCTGTCAAAAAATATATATACTAGGTATATACTACATTACTACTGGTGAGTGCAATCTTCTTAGATTAGCTAGTCTCGACATGTAGCTCAAAAATTCAATCTCAAATAATGAATATTTTTATATTTGTATTAGAACATATTAATTTTCAAATGTGTTGTGCATTTGAAATTAAGGAAAATATATAAATGAGATAAACAAAAAGAAACAAAAGGAGTTAATATACTATTCTGTCCTGTTAAAAAATATATATACTAGTATATACTACTGGTGAGTGTAATCTTCTTAGATTAGCTAGTCTCGACATGTAGCATCAAAAATTCAATCTCAAATAATGAATATTTTTATATTTGTATTAGAACATATTAATTTTCAAATGTGTTGTGCATTTGAAATTAAGGAAAATATACAAATGAGATAAACAAAAAGAAACAAAAGGAGTTAATATACTACTCGTGTCCTGTTAAAAAATATATATACGTTGTATATACTAATCGTGTTACATAAATATGGAGTACATGTACTACCCCTTGTTACATAAATACGGAGTACGTTCATTTACCAAAAGGTTCAACATCAAAGTACAAATGGGAGGAATATAGTTATTTTTGGGGTATAATAAAAATTACTCAACTTATTACATAAATTTGCATGAACAGCTTTCATGCCTTCATTAGTTTTGTCGAATGGCAACAGGTGTCGAGCTGAGAATCGACGATGGATGATTAATGATATCCATTAGTTTTATTGTATATGTCAAGAATCGTAATTAAGGCCTTATCTTTGACTATTTTATGAAAGTAACAAAACAGAACGAACGTATCCATTTATAATGCTACTGATAATCACATCACTTTAATTTAATTTAATGTAATTTACAGCTATCTTCTATTTTCATCAAGATATTTATGTTGATCATCAAAAACCTACTGACAATGACAAAGATTTTATACCCTTGCAACGATTATGTATCTACTTCATAGTCCGTATAAAGGTTGTCCTACAATCTCCTAAGAGTACCTTTCCAACCCTCAGCTCACAAATACTGGATCAAAAAAATCCGGACGTGATTTGATCAAGGTTTATATTCCTTGTCATTAAAAAAAAAAGTAATTTGAGAGGATCAGAGAAGAAATGCAAATTTCAAGTGCAACGTATATTGTTGTTTATCTTATGTGTCACATCCAGCCAATCACGATTAAACAGGACAAAAACTCATTATACAACTAATTGTACCATACGTATGTTACAACCAAAAACCAAAAACCAAATTCTTAAAACAAGTGAGATTGTTGTTGTATCATGCGTATTATATGATCGGTTGTACCATAATTATCCTCCTAACATATATAGTGCAATCGTTAAAAAACCATTTGCGGATAAGCCCACGAAGTAAACTCCTAAGCACGTAACTCTTAGCTTGTTTTTATCTTTGCAGTCTAATGTAATATTTTAAGTTATTTGGGGGGAAAAGTTGATATCTTTCTTCATCACACAATAGTACATAAGAGTAAATAGTAGATTGTACTTTAAAAATCAAAATTGAACAGCGAATTTAGCCTCAAATGTCATACTTGATACTTAAGTGGGAATTCAAAGAATCCATCTGTATATGTCTCATTTATTTTATCATTCTTTTGTCATGTTTTATTCCTTTCCATTTATGTATATACCATGCACATTATTTACATATGGCCTCAAAATCTTACATTTGCTAGCAAATGCTTAGACAACAACTCATTTCCTTCAAAGTACTTATAGATTCTGTACTAGGATTTATATGCACAAACTTTAAATTTAAAAAAAAAAAAGAGAAAGAAAAGAAAAGTGTTGTCGATCACCTGCCTTAGCCTTTGCGTCCACTTGCTATAAAAACATATGGTATGAAAATCATTTACTAACTTTTACTTTTTATATCATGATACTGGCTATCTATCTACATCATTATCCTTTGCGATTTTATGTGAACCAATTAAAAACAAAGGGCCTCTCACATATGAATTGTGATTAATCTTTTTAAATAATTATGGTGGTCAATTTGACAATAGGGATCTGATAACATAGCCGATGAATACATATATAAGAAGCTATATATTACAAAAAAATAAAAAATTAATTACATCATTTATGCGTGTTTTAGTCAAATATAAATTTTCAAATTTATAATATTTTAGAAAATTCATTAGCAAACTATTCGGATATTTAGACAAACAAGCAAAATATAATGGTTGATACTTTGTAGTACATTAATAAGAACATTTTTGTCATGCTAATGGACTTTAAAAAAAAAAAACGGGTATGAATATGATATACATTTATCAATTAAAATTGATTTTACATATTTGCTATGCAATTACTATTATTTGTTAAGTAAAGTGACAAATTTTACAGAAAAGCTTATCTTCACTAAATATTTCTCTTTATACATAGATAGGAGTAAAATAAAGGGAGTACCATTTACAAAATTAATAAATAAATGAATACTCCGTAAATAAAAAAGAGACTACTAGCTAACAATGGAAGACAGCCACTATTTTTTTCATACCAGATTAGTGTAGTTTGTATATCATTGGACTAATTATGCTTATTAATAGAATATGAATCTGGCCGGATGCTTCCTCCCCCATAAAAGACATTAAACTTTTTAATCAAATATAATTAAACCTATATTTATATATAACAATGACTTAATGCTCATCCAATGTGTTCAATTTTGAAATGATTGGAAGTTCATTCAAAAGTACAGTAATTTACTTAGTATGCTAATTAACACATTATTTGTAGATTGACCATGAATTTTATATAAATTTAGCAACAAATCACTTAATTAGAAAAACAAAGGCTCATAAACATTTTAAATAAGGTTTTCTGTTTGAAAGGAACATGTTATATATGGTTTATCTTTATTGGAAAAGCTACAACAAATCATTAAGTAGTGATTGTGAAGAGCTAGGGTGTTACTTGAAGAATCTTGAAAGAATGGTACTAAATTCAAGATTTGATACGATTATTTATTAAAGAGAATGCAATAACCTTGAAGGGTTACATCTATTGAAGTTTAAGAAAATGAAAGTTTTTTATTTGATTTTTTGCTAACAAATAACATTAACTTAAGCATATCTTTGAAGGTATATATGAAAGGAATACACTTGGTTTTCTTTCATAAATAATATACATTCTCCATTTTTTTAAGATGAAAAACTTGAACTTTACACTATTCATATGAACTTGTGAATTTCTGCTCAAAACTTCCATGATCTGTTGATATTGCTCAACTGTGATAGTGTTCTGCACATCAGCATTACTTGTATTTTCCTCACCATCACCATGAACTGCTCTGGCAAATTGTTTTCCCCTATAATTATTCTTGAAGCTTGTATTAGTATTCTGAGCATTCACTTTTCTGCACCTCTGAATACTATGGCCTGGTATCTTGCAGAAATCACAGTAGTAATTGATCTTCCTATTGTGATCAGGGTAAGAATTTTGCCTCTGACCTCCAAAACCACCATGAAAACTTTGTTGTTGCCTATTCTTATCAAAGTTGTTATACCCTTCATTATAATTTCTTCTATTAACAGCAAATGCCATAGCTTCTAATTCTACTCTACTATTGTTCAACAACTTATGTTTTTCTTCCTGCATTAGTAGTCTATAAGCATGAGAAATAGTAGGTAATGGTTGTTGTAACAACAGATTTCCTCTAACACCTATAACTATCATTCAATTTCATCAAGAATTGAATCAATCTTCTCTCCTGCTGAGACTTCAAGAGTTTTTGTGTGATTGTGCATGTACAATTATCACAAGAACATATAGGAAGAGGATCTAACTCATCATCCCATAACCTCTTATTCTTTGTACAAAAAGTTGAAAGATCATCATTACCTTGCTCAATGTGATCCATAGATTGCTGCAAAGCATACAGAACTGTGCCAAAAGAAGCACCAAAACTTTCTTCAAGATTCACCCAGATCTCTCTTGCTGTGTTAAAATATAACACACTTCTTGCCAAATTTTGAACCAATACACCCAAAATCCAAGATATCATCATACTATTGCACCTATTCCAGGAATTTATAGATTTCTGAAGTCTAATATGGTCTGCTGATTGAACCATCAACAAATCCAACCTTGTTCTTTGCTGACAAACTGATTAACATTGAACATTTTCAATCACTGTACCCAGATCCATCAAACTTTTCTGAGACCAATTTTATGCCAGGATTGCCAGAAGGATGAAGGTAATAAGGTGAAATGGGATCTTGTGAAGGATCTAATGGTGCCATTTTGATTGAACTTTGATAAGAACATATATATTGTATTGAATCAGAAAATTATGCTGAATTGAACTTCAATTATTGAACGAATTATTGCAGAAATTGCTCAAATAAATGCACTCAGAATCGATTATGGTAGGCTCTGATACCATGTCAGAGTTTAGAACTCAAGAATTTGACAAAATCAGAAAACGAAAGAGATGGAAGAAATAGGGAAGAACAACTAAGAACTTTGTTGTTTGATCTTTATTATTTGCTCAATGCTTACAAAGAAGTGTTTATTACAGAAGAATTGAATGAGAGTAATCTACTCTATTTATATTACAAGCTATAACGAAATCATAACAACTTTCTGTTATGTAACTAACTTCCTACTGACGTGGCTGCAAGCATAACCAACTGTCTTAGCTGTATTTGGAAGCTTCTGTAACTTTGGAGGCTTCTAGAACCTTCTCTGCATTAGTACTCTCATCATATTCAAATTCGTGATTTTATTTGAGTTAGTCCGTTAATACGAGAGAAAATTATGGGGCTAAGTATCGTTACATATCAAACATCGATGACACGTGTACAGATTAGAATGCTAATTGTTAATTAGAAGGTATGGAGATCATAATGATAGCATGCGTTGGCAAAGTCCAGTTGCCAACCACTATATGAAGTGAAAGACACAAACTGGCGAAACGGGCCCATAAAATTTGAAACTGTAGCATATGGATGGGGTCACCATTTTTGGTTGCTGGAAATGTGGGCATCTTATTTGTGTGTTCCTCTTACCTGGAACCAGCTTTCAGCCTTCATATTTATTTTCATTTTATTTGCTTGGAGTATATATCTACACCACTACATACTCAAACCTAAAGTAACGCTCACGATATGCCTCATCATATATTCATATTATAATCAATTAATTTAATAATATAGTCTTATGTAGTTACACCCACTTTAATCAAGTCAATAACTTAATATACTCCGTCCTGATTTCTTTCGCTACCTTATACGTAGTACAAGTATATGTCATTCGACAATCGACATTCGTCTTAATTTAATTTGCTGATTCATACAATTAGCAATGATTCATTACTTTCTTAATGTATGGATTACAAATTTACGGAGTATTACGTGTCACTTGTATTGAGTTCCTAGCATTCCCTCAAAAAAGCTAAATCATTATAAAATAGATCAATATATTACCAATAATAATGAATATTTTTTGCTGTCTTCAGGCTTAAATACAGGCATGAGTGATACTAATTGTGATACTTTTTTTTTATCGTCTTTAGTGATTAATATGTTGAAAAAAAATAGTCATGTGAAATCTTGTTAGATTTGCCCTGAAATATACTATTCTAATATCAACTTTTTATAATTTTTACTACAACATAAATTAAGATTTTTAAAATGTGCATTGACAAACATGAAATCCTACCAATTAGTTGTTGGTGAAGTGGTGATTGGGGCTACACTTGGTAGGGAAGGACCACGTGTTCGATCCCCTGCAACAACAATTGGAAGGGGATTGGAACCTATCATTCAGAGCCTCAAATCCGGATTAGCCCAAAGAGTGAATCGAGTGGAACACGAAAAAAAAAAATGAAATCCTCTACGTTGCAATTGAAAAAAAGGGAGAAAGTATATAATAATAATAATAATAATAATAATAATAATAATAATAATAATAATAATAATTTGTTCCTGGACAGGTTGTGGCTGATGCAGCTCATCGAAAGCGGGTCAATTACGAATCTAGTTGTTGGGCAATAGGATATGGTTTCCTTCCTTTCTCTTTCTCTTCACTTGGGGAATTAGAGAAGGATGCAGTCACGTTGTTGAAGCGAATTCAGAAGTTCTCGTAGACTCAAGACATTGGGGCACGTGTTGCGGCTCATATTTTTACTAGGATAGGATTTGCTACAGTTAGAGGAGTAGGGCCCAGATATCTCGGCTTCCCACTAATTTTTTGTAAGTTGTATGACTTTGTCTGTTTTTGTAATATAATAAACCAACCAATTTCACCCTTTTCGTATGCAGGATCTTAGGCAAACTAAACTGTTATGTGGCCAATCTGGCCATACTAACACTATTTTAATATATATATATATATATATATATATATATATATATATATATATATATATATATATATATAAAACACCATTACCAAACTCTGTGTTACTCTTCTGGAGTCTTCTAATCCAATAATCGCTATAATTAAATACTGTACAATCTCAACTAATTACAAATCACCTGCGTAAGATTTTCTGACAACTAACTTAAGCTAGACAGCTATTTTCCACAAGCGGAAAAATTAATAAATTTATAACTTAAAGTCAAATGTGGAAAAATATCTGAATTTCATTACTCTGTAGCTGTATACCTTCATGTACCATCCGATGTACCATGGACCATGGTAGGCATGGTTGGTGGACCATTGGCAAAATTTTGTACTCACTTTAGTGTTTCATAATGTTTTATTGTTTTATCATTTTATGGACTTCAATTTAATTCCATTTGAATTTATATATGCTAATATCGTGACCGTAAATATGTTATAACCTAATTTAATAGAACTTATTGAGTATTTAAAATAAGTCGAATAGAACTTGAATTAAAAGATGTATGATTAACTTTCATTAGATTCAATTGAATTCTCTACAACCCTATTTTCAACCAATCTAGTCTATTTAGTTAAAAGTTAAGCCAAGTTGACTTGTACAAAGTTCCGATCAAAATAGACACATCTTCCTATCTTAATAAAAAATAAGGAGTATAGAGTAAAAAATATGTTGAATCTCATTCTTCTAATATCCGTCAAATGTAGTGGCTTCTTCAATTAGGTGTTGAAAACTTCCAAATGTAAAATAGCAAGTGGATTCTTACCTGTCAAACAAGCTACAATACCCCAACTTTAATTGCATTCAAATCTATTTCAAAGTCTTGTTATTTCATGACTTAGTCCTTTGGCATTTAGCATGCCTTACATACACAATTTCTCAACCCAAAATAAAAATACAAAAATAAAAATTTATATAAGAATTGAAAAATCAAAATCAAACATAGACTCATATATAAAGCATCCCAACAAGACCAAAAGAAAAACCAACAACTCAACAACAACAAACCAAAACCAAAACAAGAAACACAACTATCAACTTTGAGAGAATATGCAACACAAATCTAGGTTGCTATCAAAGCCACCAGTTGCTGCAACTGGCGGAGGAGTACAAATGAGGATCAAGAGAAGAAATATACCGGCTGCCGCGGCCGCCAAAGGAGGATCACAAGGACCCACATCAACTCCTTCTCCTTCATCAAAAGGGTTGGCATTATTATATTATGGTAATCAAGATTACTCTTATGGAGACAAGTTGAGAAAACAGCAAATGATGAAAGAGATGTTAATAAGAAGAGCGTTATCTCCGCCACCGAGACGCCTCACGTTACGGTGGCGGAACTTTCAGCCTACACCGAGCCGCCTTTCGATGATGTCAACGGCCTCATAATATAAAAGAATTCTAGTTACTTCATCATTCATAACATGGTGTACGTAATTTTATTTTATTTTTCAGATTAGAGGTAGGAAACATTGTTTGTTTTACGGTGTATATAATATTGTATCAACTTTAAGTAAAGTAATGTCTTATAACATCTAGCAGAAATTTTTTGGTTAGCTATAAAATTTTCACTAGAAGTTCAGATTTTAACAGAATACTGCAAAATTTGTTGAAGCATATATACAGATCAAGGTCAGGGGAAAATCATACAATACCGACCCTGGTGCACCTAGTTGCGCCGCCGCCCCGGCCGGGGTCCGTGGATCAAGTACGTGCACTGGAATTATCGATGGATATTCAACTAAAATAACTCCAGGTTTGATCATAGATTATTACAGGATTTGTTAATATCATGATCAAGTTAATTGTTGGAAAAAAAAAAAACAAAAAGGGCTAGTTTTTATTGACTTTAATCTGGAAAGTTAAGTGGTTGATAAGGGGTATATTCGAGTATCAATTTTATTATACAGTAGAATAGGTATACAAAATCATCGATTTTTTTTAAATTGCAGTGTAATCTTCTTTTTTTTAGAAAAGTTACAAAATATGGAGCATTCATGATATTTTTTTTTTTTTTTTTGACGAAAGATATTAATTTATTTGATTGTGTATCTCTCTCATTTCATTCTCTCCCTTGATTCCCTCCGTTACATGAAAACCATGTACCTTTCTCGTTGCAACCATGTTTTTGTAATATGCATGATATGGTTGTTGATTTATTTTCATCATAAATCAGTGAAATTGATAAAAGAATGATTTGTGAAGTACATTTAAAGAAAAAAAAACATGAAGAGTTTCATGCTATATACAAGTACTTGTATATATGTACATTATTTAGGCAAATAATTGTCAAAATTTAGAGAAAAAGTATGTATGATATGGCTTATTATATGTCTTAGAAAAATAATTGCTAGTGTCAACGAACTACCAACGCGATTTGGAAGAGGTTACTTTTCTTTTAAGATTCAAGTTCTAGTTGTTCTTTTCTTTTCCTAGAATTGTTGCTTCAAGTGTTTTTCCAAGTGCAAATTATGAGTCACGTCCTTGCCAATAATGAAATACTACTATAATTTCCTAAAAAAAAAAAAAAAAAAAATACTACTATAATGTACTACTTCCATTCTCGTGCTTTATTTATTTGGATAATGATTCTTTCTATCTCGATTCCCATCAGTAGGCCGTCATATTAGTCTCCTTTTAACTCTCTCTGCATATCACCTTTTTTAAAATACCATGCATCTATTCCCTCATATTACAATTAAATAGAGGAAGTGCTACATAACATTACTATGGAAGCATGATAGTGACTGCACATTCTAACATGTGAAATTTTGATTGTCGCTCAACTCATTAAATCTCTCTTTAAATTTGATGTTTTTTAACTCAAGGTAAAGGTTCATAACTCACTTCGAAAGGAATAGGACTTTTACACATCGGAGAATTGCGTTTTCAAGTCCGCTTACAACCTACTTCAGTGCCAATTGAATACGGTTATAACCGTGAGATTTGAGTCATTAGATCTTGAGGCATACTCCTAAGGAGGGTATCCTCATGCTTGCAAAAGTAATTATGAACTTTAGCTTAGGTTGTCTTCAAAGGACATAAAGCTTGCTTGTACCTAGATTATCCAATAGATCATTTTGATCGACTTAGATTTGGGTAAATTTTCTCATCTCATATACTTATTACCTGTAATGAAAGCGCTTCAATTTCTCTTTAATACAGTCATATCCAGGCTATTGTCAAAAATCATGAAAAACCAATTATTAGTCATATTTAATTTTGGGTACCTTAGTTTCGATTACCCATCTTAATTAGGGTCAAAATCAAGTTGTCTAGCTTCACATATAAGGTGGCATCGACTGTGTCAGATTCGCGGATGAATACCACGATACCAAACAGATGAATAAACATCAGCAGCAAACATGTAATCAAATGCAGAAGTAACTGCAATTATTTGCATACTATAACAGACCAATCCATTGCCGCTGTTTATATCATACTGATGTATGTAGTCTATGTACCATTCGATAAGAAAATAGAACACAGGATTATAAATTATGTTAATGCTCTTTTACTTGTATATGTATGGTTATTTACCTCAAAAAAATACATGTAAATATACAGGTATAGCTATAGCTAAAAATACAAATAGGTAGAATGCTACATACAAAAGCTATGTTGTCGCTTATACTCCTTTTGTACATCTTATACATTATGTAGAAGCGACGTGACCACAATTATCCTTTACAACCAGATCTGGCAAGCGTTGCAAAACCACAATTTCCCAAAGCCAAAACCCACCAGCTCACCATACCACTTGACAGATTCAACCTTCATTTGGATCACTAATAGTGGGAAAAATCTCAGACTGTTGTCCTCAATGGTGTCACATCTTCCTCACTCCTGGAAAAAATAGCACATTAATAACCAGAAGATTCAGATTACAGGTTGCCTTTTAAGATGATGGCGAGAAATCAGTTTATAGCCAAAAAAATAAGACAATACCTCTGAAGGACTTGAATTTGTGGTTTCGGTAGACTCTTCCGAGAGTCTTGCTTCCGACTTTTGATTTGATAACCTAGCAATAAACCCAAACAAAACGTCAGTGTCAAGCAGACACCGTAGCATATAATTTATACTTCATAAATGACGCAAACACGGTTACAAGTTAAACTTTACAAGCCAACCAAAATGACATTCGGCCAATAGAAATAACAGGGCCACAAGAGCATGATTCAAAACAAGGAACTTTAAAACAGAGGACTAAGAAATTTACCCTGTCCTAAGGCAATAATTAACTTTAAAAAGAGGATAGTAGATTAATAGGTATTCCCAAATAACTCCTACCAATCAACACCTTTATCTCCACCCATTCAACTCCTCAATTTTAGCCCTTAATTGTTTCCTATTACTCTTTGAAATTCATTCATCTCATTCCATACATAGACTTGTATATTGAAAACAAACATCTCAAATGTATTTACAGATGCACCATTATAAAAAGCCAAATCTTCATGCATTTCCAAAAAAAAAAAAAAAAAAAAGGAAAAAAAAGGCAAGCTTCCATCAATTAGGGAGAAAAGAAAACGAAATATCAGCTGAAAAATAAGCAATCTATTAGATGGCTAAAAGTGGAGAGCATGACACTCATATCAAAAGGTCAAGACTCTGTATTCTGTGCATGTTTCTTTAGCAAGGTTCATATTAATCACTAGCAGGAAATTTTTGAAATTGCATGACAATCTGATTCCACTAATATCCTTAGTCCTTGATTATCACACAATTATCATTTATCAGCTGGCAATTGGTACTAATATCTCAGAATATATTAAGCAATGGAATGAAGGGAATGCAAATAAAGATTTCATGGAATTTGATACAAACAGATCATTTCTGCTAATAGCCAGCTGCCATTTACTAACATCTAACATAAATCTGGATCCTTAGCAACCTATTTGGAAGAAAATAAGCACCACCAAGTGCAGCAGGAGATATGTATGCAAAACTTTTCAGTCACCCACTCAGCAAGGATGACACGGAACAATACTCAAAGCATATATAGACCATTAGACACTGTCATACTTCAAGTTTAACGAATTTATAACTATTGAATATAAATGACAGAGAGGGTAATTAGTATATTTAGGAACAGGATTGACAACAGGCACAAGGTGTTATTGTTCACTTCATAAAATGAGCTGGTTGGGGGTACGCGTCAAGAACAGAAGACAAACCAACATTCAGGATAGCGAGTAATTCTTAACTTACGTTGAAAGTATTGTCACCCATATGAGCTCCACACAATCAACCCAAAGCAGTCTTTGTTCTATAGGAATGACACCATATGTCACAAGGTGTGCAAAAGGCCAAAGCTTCCATCCTGCCTGCAAAGCAATAAAGATACAATAATTAATACAAAGTCATATCTAATAAACGGCTCTTAAAGCTACAAAAAGTTATTAAGAATATCAACACAACTTCACAATCTCAAGCACCCATTCTCTTCCAAAAACAAATCAATAGCTAACAGTCAAGATTTTTATCCACTTCTAGTAGACCTTCTACATCCTCAAAGTATGGTTATAGTTTTGCTCCTAATTACCTTTATGTCTCAACATGGTCCTAGATGTATTACTTAACTTTCTTACCGCACCCACCCACCCCGCCCCCCCCCCCCCCCCCTCCCCCCATATCTGGCTGCTCAACTAATCAATACAAGAGAGCCTCTTGAGATACAACATCATAAAAGGGGGCTGGAACTGTAATGGATCTTTAATGTAGAAATGTCAGTTCAAAACAGGTTTACATCATGGATAAGATAAGAAAGACAAGGCAAGAGGAAACTGAGACATTGGAAGGGAATGCAAATTAAGGATCAGCACACATTTCCTCAAGATCAGACACTCATTCTGTAATGTTTTAAGGTCAACCCTTATACTTCTGTAAAAGCAAGTATCAAAAGCTATGTTTAAGATAGAAAAGAACTTGAGATATTACTTACAGTGAGCATAGGCAAGAATGTTCCCTTCAGTTCTTTGAAAATACTAACGGGTGATTCCAATCTCAAGAGCCCCAGAACTATAAAATAAATACTATTCCAAATTCCTGCCCAAATAGTTTGATCAAAGGCAACTTTAATAGGAACTGCCCACCAGTCTTGGAATGGGAATAATGCCTGAAAGATACAGACTAGTTAAGAGTTTAAGACCACAATAATTTTAGGAACAAAGACGATAGCTACAACAAATATATTAGAACAGTAGACTGTATTTTCAGTAAAGAATACCTCGCAAAATTCATAATAATAATGAGAAAGAGAACCATGTAAAGCGAATCCAGCAAGTCCAGATCTCAACATGCGGGTTCGATCAAATTCAAAAAGTGGTTTCCCTTCATAGCACTGCAATTAAATAATGTAAGAAATTTATAGGAGCATATTGGAAATCCAATCAAGAATAAACAACAATCACCACAGTAACTAACCTGCGCTATCCAATCCCCTATTGAGTACACAACTCCACTAATCACCATTTTTGCTAATACGGGATTGGTTTTAAGAATCTCTTCATAAGCACTCCAGTTGTGTTGTGGAGCATATCTCAGTATTTCATAAATTGTCCATCCCTGAAAGCAAAACACATAGGTAGTGAGCCAGAGATTTTCAGATTTCTATAATTTTTCTTGATAAATAGTCCAATGTATATGACTTCAATGAAAAACATATGTCAAGTAAAAAAGCAAATGCAATTCAGCAGAGTTGCCATGAACTACATGACATGGTCAAATAAAACCACACATATAAATTACTGTTTCAAAATTATGACTTAATTAATTACACAGGTGGAAAGTATAGCGCTTAAGACTTAACCATTTTTGTGACAGGAAAGCATTGAAAGGAAGCTTAGAATCATAGAAAAAGTCATGTAAATACAAAATAGTCAGCACCCAGTAAAAACACAACTATCGACATGTGATTTGTGTTCAGCTTCAGCCCAAATCAGTATATGGCTATATGCAACCCAGATGCCATCTAGCTACTTGACAACTCTTCATATCACAATCTCAAATTCAGCAAGAATTAAATTCAGCATACACTCAACCCAATTGTTCCATGAGCTCATAAACAGCATACATGAACAAAACTACAATTTAGAAATAAAAAATTCCTTATACTTCCATAAACCAACTAATGAATTCACTAGTACATTACTACAATGGCTTTGTTCCTAATCTTCCTATTACCTTAATGGCTTAAACACATTAAGTTCAAGAAAAAAAGTTAATATTAGTTCCAACAAGATCAAATAAGTGCTGCCTAAATTAAGCTTGATAAGTTCAGATAAGTTTCGAAAAATACAGATAACGATTCCCAAGACAAAAGAACGGCATATAATTACTAACCATTGCTCCATAACCAAAAAGCAAAAGCAAACAAATTCCACTTGTACATGATTTCTCAAGCAAAACCCATTAAAACATCATTAACTTTCAATCAGCTCAAAATCAACATAAACTAGCAACTTACTTAATCAATAATCAATACAAAAAACAACCCATTTCAGAAAAATTACAGTGAAATTACAATAAAGTACTAGAAATTTAGAATTAGGGAATATACCTGCCAATAATCATGATCAATGGTAAGCAATTTAGTCAAAGCAAAACTACCAGCAGCAAGAACAATAGAAGCATTAATAATCCTATCAATCATCTTATCCAAATCTTTCCCACCATTTCCTTGACCACCATCACCACCACCACAACCACCAGAAACACTTTCCAAAGACAACTGCCCATCAAACCCACCAACCACCGCACCTCCGCCAACAATCTCACTCTCCTGAAGAACACTCACCGCACTTTCAATTTGTTCGGCGAGTTTCGAGCTCTTTGCCGGAATAATACCAAAATCATCGCCGGAAACGGCTGAAGTGACGGCGGAGGAGCGCCGGAAGGTAGTGGGGAGGGGTAATTGTGTAAATGGTTTCTGGGTTTTTGTGGGTTTTAAGGGTTTTGTAAGAGGAGGAAGAGATTTGGGTGAAATTGAGGGTAAGGAAGCCATTAATGGAAGGTTGGAGTTGGAGGAAGAAACAGAGGACGAGCAAAGCAATCGACGTGTTTTCTCCGACTCAAGATAGAAAAAACTAGGAGAGAGAAAGTGAATTTTTTTTATATGATTGGTAGATTCTACTTTCTTCTTCTTTATTTATTTTTTTATTTTTTAAATAGGGTAATGCAAAATATTTGTATCCACTCAAAATTGTGATCCAAAATTTGTCTAGCTAGTGTAAAGTTGATAAAATGATAGTGTATCTTGATTATGGTCTTACCTAGGGAGTTTATAGTTAAGTAATCGGTTTTTAGGAATGAAAACACAATTTGAGAATGATCTCTTACTTTCACATTGAATTCGGTGGTGAATTTTATCTTTTTGAATTTGTATTGTTTAAATGTGTTTAGGAATAATGAAAATGTAAATTAAAACATGGGTTTTTTTTGGATCTTACAACTCTAAAAAGCTCTGTTTTTAATTAACCATTTTTTTATTTATCATTTATTATTTTACAACCTACAAAAAGACAAAACAAATCATATTTCACCACCACTTAACAATTTTCGTTAAGAAAACTGCTAAGTTTCTAAAGAAGAAAAATAAAACATCGATTTCTATATCAAAAACCTGCTCTATTAAGGTTTTTGGGGCTCATTCTAGTCAGTTTACTTTACATACACATTTTCAAATTATTATAATCTATATAAACCATGATTGCTAACGTAATCTCTCTTTACTTAGCGCGCCCTCTTAAAAACCCGTATCACCCCTTTTCCCTTTTCTTTTCCTTTCCCTTTTCATGTTTCTCTAGCTCTTTCATTGTTATTAATTGATCGATTAATAAAATTTAATCAATATCACTAAAATTAAATTTACAAACCATAATATATAGGAAAAAATTTGCACAAGAAATTAGGACGGAATCGATTTATTTAATTATATGACTTCATATGACTGGGATGATATAGTGTGCACTATTTTATACAATTTGTGTGAAACAATAATGAATACTATTTTGTTCAATTTGTATGAAACAGTGCATATCATTTTCTTCAAATTGTATGAAATAGAAGTTCCTATTTCAGTCACTAATTTTACATTATGTTCATAATTATTTGATCGAGTAATAAATCATCAATTGGAAACTGCACTCATAGTGAATTGTAAAAGCAAGCTAGGGAGCAATAATGGTATTGAATTTGTAAATATAATGCACTTGCAATGAAAGACCACACTTAAATAATTCATATGAATAGACACTGTGCCCATACGATATATTTGATAATCATATGCAATTCAATATTAATCTTTTAATTATTTTAAAGATAATTATCACATTTTTATAATACTTTGCCACTTAGCAAGAAAGAGAGAAAAGGTTACTTAAAATTTTGATTAATGGTAAAAACAAGGAGTAGAGGTGTTGGGTTAATAAAGAGAGGTTGCGTTTAGCAATCATATTTAAATCTTGATTAATTTTTTTTGATCAACCTAATTTTACTTGACTATGAAGGCAAGACGTGTCTAAAACCTTTGACTGCCGACTTGATAACTAGTTCGATTTGTCTCACAATATTTGTGGACGTTAAAAAAGGAGAATGCCACATAAAAACATCTTCCACCAAATTCTAGAGGAGCGGCTGAGTAGATGCTGACTTGGTTGATTATGTCACATTCCTTTAAAACTCATTCTTGATTTTTCGAGTCATATGATTGGTTGAGAATAAAAAAAGGTATGATGTGTAAATGTTTTCACTAGAGTATACTTCTTTCTTCGATCCAAATTTCTTAAATTTATGGTTTTCGTTAATTTACAACTTTTGTGAAAATTTTCTTTTTAATAACCCTTTCACTTCTGTATGATTTGAAAGTTCTTTCACTGAAAATAATTTGTATATGAACATCCAATCAACATATTAATGCTTTGGTAGAGTTTACAATTGTAGAATAATTGCTCAATTCTCTATGATAGTAAATGTGTAGATATATTCTATGTATTATGTGATGATATTATTTGTGTAATAATGTAAGAATAATTAAGATTGTCATTATAAAAAACAAAAAATAGTGTGTAGTATCTTTTACGACATCACCTTATATAGGGTTTTCCAATAATTAAGGGTATTAGAAGTTCTTTTCTTAGTGTAATACTTTGGAAATTTCCTTCCTTAAAAATACTCCTTTTCACTCTAAATAAAACTCAATTTAATAAAATCTGCAAAATATTACCGCCACCGTGATAATGGCTAAGACTAGTTTTCAAAGTCTCACAGCGAAAGTTTAAAACAAAAACCAACTTTAAAAAAAAAATAAAACTTGAGTTCACAACCTCAAAACAAAAGTAAAATAAAACATTCACAAGTTGGAACCAATTCAAACATATGGCCCTTTTTAAAACCAATTAAAAACAAACGTAATAATGTTAATCCATAAACAATAACCAATAATTCAAAATTATTAAAACTAAGAAACATAACAAGTAACTCTCTGCACTCTATCCCATCATGCTTTTCATGCTTCAAGTACCTGTTACTTCCTCTTTATTTCAACTCTCTACTCACCATATAAAAATGGGTCATAGTAGTCCAAAGGAAAGCCAAACACAGACAGAAAGGTACGACTCAGCAAAGTTGAGTACATATGCACCACACTAACATGAATATCCTAGCATCAAAATAAAATAATAATTAAAACATGCTCGCGACACAATCACAAGTCAATTTACCTTTGACTCATAACTAGCAATATTAATTATTAATAATAATTTTGGATTACGCATCGAACGGGTTTCCTTCCTTGAAAATAGGCCATTTAAATATTGAGCTTCCGATCAGGGAGCTACCCCAATTGGCACCTACTATGTCACACTTGGTGACGGAATTCCAGCGCATTAATAATAAAAGAAAGTACAGCGTCCTGTACCCCTGTAAAAGCTATGGTTAAATATAAAACCCCATAACTACCCCATATGTTCATACTCAAGGTATATACGTTCCAAGAGTTTTGGTGCGTATCCTCTTACGCTTTACGTGATTTACCAATTTAACTTGTGATGACTCAAACCAATCAATCAAGAACAAACATAACAACATTCAACACAAATTTCCATTCATTCTTGAATTAAATAGTGAGCACATACTATTTATTTTAATTAAGGTTCCTTGCCTAGTTTTGTGCACAAAATTGTACGATTACTACCTTGGTGCATAAGATGCATTACTAAACTTCCTTGACTCAAACTCAACTTACTTGAGTGAGTAAATAAATAAACTAATTTCTTGACTCAACACCAATAATAAATGGGTGAGAAATAAATTCATGAATCATGATCAATAATTCTAACTTTAGCTCTTTAACTCATATATAAGCCTTGCTTATTACATACATGTTTTCTTGATACTTGAAAATAAAACATACTTCCATGATTCATATATATTCAACTTGTATCATGCTTCAAATAATATATTCACATGCTTGCATAACAATTCATGATCAACCAACATTAATTCCAAGCATATAATCAACCAAACATGCTACTAATTCATCACCTAAATTATACTTTACAAATCCTAGCATGATACTACGCATACACAAATATTCTTGTGCATATACGTACCTTGAACAACGCCTAAACTCGGCAACACTCACTAGAAATCACCTACCTCGAAGCTTCCTACAAATAAGAATACATAACTCTAATTAATCCACTATTCTCACAAATTTCGAGCAACTATAATACTCTTTAAACCTTACTAATTAACCCAATTTAATGACATAAAAGCCATAAAACCTTTTCTTTAAGTGGGTACTTCAAATCCTTTCAAAAAGACTTAATTTTATGACTTAAATAAAATTTAAGTATACTTATTTTATATAAAACATCACTAATAGACTAGAAAATCATATTTAAATCATTAAAACCTTTTTCCCTTTTATGGGTAATCAAACCCTAACTCAATAATTAAAAAGTAGTGTACATAGATAAATTTTAGCATTAATTTGAGGGCTTTAAACTCAATAAAAACATGTTTAAACCACTAATTAAACAACAACATCAACCTAGGATCAAACCCTAACCATAAACATTAAATTCCCAATTTCTAGGGTTTGTAAATTGGGGTTTTTGATTGAATAATAATCTGAAAATTATATAAATAATTTAACAACATCAATTACCCAAAACATAATCAAAATCATGCTTTTAATTAATAAAAACAATAGAATTAAATTAGGAAGAGAAAAAGAGGTTTTTTTTTATAATAATACCAAAACACCAAAAACAAAAGGAGAGAGAAGGAGAGGGTGGTTGGCGGGCTGCCGGATGCTATTGCTGCCGCCGGTGGTGGTAGTGGCGTCGGTGGCTGCCAGTGTGAGGGGAGAAGAAGAGGGAGAGAAAGGCGTGGGGAAGGAGAGGAAAAAAAAAGGAGGAAAAATAAGGAGAAAAAAGAGAGAGAAAATAAAGAGAAAACCTTTGAAATTTTTGTGAAATATGAAAATTATGATTTTAGAGTGAAAAATGTTGAAGTCTTGAACTATTTATACTCCCCTTTTAAAACAAAAGCTCATAATTACAAAACTGTCATTACTAAATCCTACTCTCCCTTAACTTCTTCCTTTGGGGCCAACTTGTTGAGCTTTTAAGTGTCCTTAATTCCCTAACAAGTTGATCCAACTATTGAAATAAAGATGACCCAATTCAAAACACTTGTATTGCCTCAATTAATGACTCATATTATTTTATGCACACTTACATAATATTTAAATAATTAATTTCTTTTAAACTGAAATGAATCATTTTAATTTATAAAAATAAATAAAATAATTAAAATAAATAATTTATATATATATATAAATATTATAAAATACGGAGTATTACAGTCTACCCCCCTTAAAAGAAGTTTCGTCCTCGAAACTTGAGCACGAAAATCATAAAACTTGTCCAAAACTCATTTAAAACTGTACTTTTTCACCCACTTAGTAAAAACTTTTCTTAATACATATAGTTGTTGTACTTTTTGTAACCTTTCTTATTCTCTTTCTTTCTCAACTTTGTGGAAGTATACTAAAAATGCACAAAAATACTTGAAAATAAGGTAAAAAAAACGTGAAATTCTACCACATTCTACCCCCTTAAAGAAAACGAGTTACGTCCCCGTAACTCAACTAACCTCAAACAATTCAGGGTACTTCTTTCTCATTTCATCCTCAGCTTCCTATGTCGCTTCCTCAGCCTCTTGATTCGACCACAAAACCTTTACTATCTTGACATCTTTCTTGCGTGTACTACGCACTTTACTATCAAGAATCCTTACAGGTCTTTCCTCATAGGTTAAGCTTTGGTCTAGTTTTATGGCTTCAGGTTGTAGGACATGAGACTTGTCTGGGATGTACCTTCTCAATTGAGAGACGTGAAACACATCATGTACCTTGCTGAGGTCCATAGACAATGCCAATCTATAAGAAACTTTTCCTATTCTTTGCAAAATCTCATATGGTCCAATGTACTTTGGACTCAACTTCCCTTTTGTTCCAAATCTCATTTCCTTTCATTGGTGAAACCTTGAGAAAAACCTTATCACCAACTTGAAATTCCTCTTCTCTACGCTTTAAATTTGCGTAACTCTTTTGTCTATCTTGAGCAGCTTTAATTTTAGTTTGGATTTCTCTCACTTGCTTCGTTGTTTCTTCTATCAATTAAGGACCTAGAATTATTGTTTCACTAATGTCACTCCAACATAGTGGACTCCTACATGTGTTATGTGTTTCTCAACAGTAACCCTCAACTTCTGCTACGCGCCAATGGCGACCTTCTTTTTTTTTTTTTTTATACAAAATGACCTTAGTTAAAAATTTCATCACACTCATAACCTTATTTCATTAAATATTAACTATGGTTATATTTATATGTTTTTTTTAAAAAAGAAAAACTAAAAAAATTAATCCCAACCACCAAAATCAACCACCACCTGCCCAGCCACCATCTCCCTTCCGACGACACTACCCAGGTTTCTCCGATCGCCGACAATGCTACCCAACCTCCCCTGACCGCCGGTGACCCTGCGCCAACTCCACCTCGACCACCGCCAAGCCCTAGATTCCCAAATCCCCGCCCACAACCCTCCCTCCCTCTCCTCCTTCTCACTGTCACCACCACTAAATCGTCGAACTCAGAACTCCGACAACCCCCAGACCGCCGAACCCAAACCACGACCAACCCCAGACCACCAAACTACCGATCTCTCTCTCTCTCTCTGTCTTTCTTCTCCGCCCTCTCCTCCACCCTCTCTCAATCTCTTTATCTTCTTCGATCTCCGCCCAGAATCGAAACCTCAAACCCTAAACCCACCACCCCTCCTCGAGACCTCGACCAAAACCTACCCACGACGAGGCGGCGAGAATCGAAGGTCAGAGGAGAGAGAGTTGTGTGGTTAGGGTTCGGATCTAGGCGGAGGAAAGGATGGAGGGATGGTTCGGCGGTTTGGGTGGGAGGTGTCGGCGTTTCAGATGAGGGGGTTTGGTGGCTCCGGTGAGGGTGGAGGTGGTGCTGGTTAGATCTGGTGGGGATGAGGGTGGAGGTGGTGGTTGGGTTGGTGGTTTTTCTTTTTAGTTTTTTTTTTTTTTTCAAAGCTAACCATAGTTAGTTTTTTTTTTAATTAATTAACTCTTATTAATGTCATAAGTGGGATAAATTTTTTAATTGAGGTCATTTTGTATAATAAAAAAAAAGGGGAGGTCATCGTTGGTGCGTAGCAAAACTAGGGGGTCACCGTTGAGAATTTCCCTTATTATTATTCCCAATTACAAAAATAAGTAGCTAATCATTGTGAAGGTTGTAGCTTAGATGTTGTAACTTATTTTAACTAAAAAAATAATGATGTGGCAATTGCTAGCTACAAACACATGTAGCTAGCCATTATGGATGCTCTTATTTGGCCTAGCTTCTATCTTTTAATTTGAGAAACAGTTTCAAATACTAGACCTAACACTACCTAAGAAACAAGGGAAGAATATATTTGGGTATCCTTGTGATTTTTTGAGCTTGTTCAAAGTATACTGGCTCAATGACATACCTTATTATGTATTGCACGAAATAATAACCGAGTTTATAAATGTATAACAAAGTAGGACACTTTCCAAACCAAATGCTAACCCTTTTTTTTTTTTTTTTTTTTTTTTGTTGTTGTATAAAACACTAATGTACAAATGATGTGTACATACAAGTATTACACGAACATTCAATCTTGAAAAAATCTTGTAAAGAGCACAGCAGCTAAGAGAAGCCTATAAGTTTAAAGCTTTGCAATGCCGGTCAAGAGACAGTGACACCAGCTACATACCAAACACCGGCGAAGAATATCCGATAAAAACAACGAGCTTTCATCGCTGGAGCCTGGAGGCAGGCGCTAGTTGTAGACTTGTAGCCTTGTACTCTTATAGGTAGTCCAAAACATAATTGTTCAATATTAAACCAGAAAACGACACACATTTGGGATCCAAACGAAATGTTTACTAAAATTCTCACTATATATACCACAAAACAAACTAGACAGAAAAAAGTCATGACATTAACACCGGTAAAAAGTAATTAACAATACATTATACATAAATTGTATAAAATAAAGTTCACATGCATGTAAACTGCATATAACAATTTCCAAAATCCACAACTTGATCATCATCAACCCCAACAATAGAACAGAAATCAACCTAATCTGCAACGGTCATAAATCACACAGTACATGCATCCAATAAGCAAATAACCAAATTTAATCATACTTAATTTTCATAAATTAGTATCAAAATCAAGAATTACCATCTATAAATACCCCTTAATTTATATCACCAAATCACATAATTGGCATCCAAAACGAGCTATATTTCATATTTACACATCATAATGGCAAGCTTGATTAGCAAAAATAATCATGTTTTTGTTTTCGCTATGATTTTCGGTCTAATTGGAGCATATTATGGAAACATTAAGGTAGGAAATGGGCAATGCAATGGTGATTTGCAAGGGCTTATAACACAATGTGCAGTGTTTGTCCAAAAACCAGGTCCACCAATGGATCCATCTTCAGCATGTTGTAATGTGTTAAAAAATATTGATGTTGCATGCATGTGTACGCATATTACTTCACAGGTTGAGCAGCTCATTAGCATGCCTAAAGCTATGCACTGTCTTCAGAGCTGTGGCAAGTCCATGGCTCATGGCTCCAAGTGCGGAAGTAAGTTTTAATAAACGTACTTTACCTCCGTTCAGATTTAGCTGTCATGTTACTAGTTAAATTATATTTTCGATTTGATGATTGGTTTTGAATAAGTGCTGTTAAATTAACACGTGATAACCACGTTCTGATTTAGTTGTCACGTCACTACTGAAAGTTAGTTTGAAAATAAGTGCTAATTAATGTGGGTTTTTTTTGGGCTTGTTTTTGGCAGGTTATACAGTTCCATAAGCAGGAAATAAAGAGGATCTGATTCATCTATGACAGTTAGCTGTTGTAGCATCTTTCCACAAGGTTTAGGCTTGTTATGGTTAATTTAACTAGTTTATCGTAAGTTTAAGTAGTTACCCTAGTTAATTTTTCTAAGATTTTTTTTATTTTTTTATTATTTTTTAACCCTTTAGGTGTTAGTGTTAAATTAGTTTGTCACTTCATATGTATGAACTTCCATTATCTCAGGTGTTATTGAGTTAGTTTTTATTACATCTTCAACGTCATATCCCAAAATGCGTGTTAATGTTCACTATTGAGTAGTACTTAACTATGTAATGATTGCTTCAAAAAACAAAAACTATGTAATGATAATAGGTGCAGTGGTTTAATTAGGTGAATCCGGATTAACGGGTGTCTTAAAATGAATTATCAGTTGAGGTACTTCCATATAAGAATCAGATGAGGTGGTTTTGTAAGAGCTGGTTAGATTATCTTAAGTTTGAGTTTGGCTACATTGCCATGTGAAAAACATTCATGCCTACTAAATTTATGTTAGTAGGATTGTTTTGAATTAAGCCATCTCATCTCATGGCTTTTAGTATTCGGACAATACAATTCGCTATTCTAAGCATTCTTTAAAGGCAGATACAGCAGAATGTCTATGAACGAATTGGCCGCACCTGACTGAAGAGCTCACACAGGCCAAGTGTGCACGACATTACAAACGAACCAAGTCATATTTGACAAATAAGAGCCTGGACTAGGAATCTGAAAACCATGCTCAATTCAACAGTCTTAGATACATAATCCAAACAATAAACCTAGACACTGTACATAAGCCAGGTTGGTAAAATATGAGTTTTCCACCAGCAATGCCAGAAGGAATATGATCTTGAAGCTAAACATTGAGGTAATATCATTGTACAGATCGAAAAATAATGAGCTAGGAAGTTGTAAGCGTTTATAGTTCTCTATCGAGGTAAAAGACCGAATAGCATGCCGCAAATTTAAGAAATGCCATCAGAACAGAGTGATGAGAGAGCACTTTCAAGTTGAATTTGGGTCATTTGGTAGTATGAGGCGATCTTGGCCTTCCACTAGCTTTGCAGATCTAATGATATCGCCAGTTTTGATTTGAGGAAGAATATCTCGCCCCACAATCGTGTAACTACACCATAAAATATCATTGATGAAAAAAACCACAATCATATGAGAATGTTGAATGTAAAATAGTTATATAAAAGAAAAATATTAAGAGTACAATAAAGCTTTAAAGACATACCCAAACACAGAGAATTGACCTTCATCAAATGACAGTCCTCCTAAGCCGGCCTGAAAAAGTGAAAGAGTCATAACATATTCACATTATCGCCAGTTGTAATACTGGTAGGCATCATATAGTATAATACAACAATGTAAAATTAAGGTAAGTTCAACAAGGTTGGGGTAGACTTACATTTCTCTTGTCATACAAATAAAAGAAAAACTGATTTGGCGATGAGTATTCCTCAGAAGAATCACTGTGAGCCATAACAACCGCTCCATAAACAGATAATGGCAAAACTGGCAGCTCACCATCCTGAAATGCAAAGAGAGATTATACGTTGCAAAATGACATCAGCAGGCTTGGCAAGTTCTCAGATGGGAATGAAAGTGAACACCAACCTGTACACTCAAAGTTGTCTTGTAGAGCGGCTCAAATTGCCCAGATGGCATTAATTCTAGAGGAACACTATAACCTTTGTTTGCGTCAAGTTTGTTGTCGGAGAGAACAGCTTGAGTGGTGCAATTTAGCTTTGTTCCATCATATGTTCCATCCATTACCTGATAATTTTGTGCTAGTATGTCATTTTATACAGAAGAGTTAATCAACATAACTTGATCTTGTATAGAATGAAGAAAAGTTGGCAACCTCTTGATTCATTAACTACACTTGAATGTTATTAGTTTGCAACATAATTTCATAAGGAAATCATTGGTATTTTAATGACAGCAATATAATTATGTATACATGTGGCCATTGCTTAATAATTTAATGTTCATCAAGGGTTAGCCAATGCAATCTATGATACATATGAACCATTTGAGCCATTCAAAGAACAAAGAGCATAACTAATCAAAACCACACTATTTCACAAGATCAAAATGTTCTTCCACCTCACAATCCCATTTAATTTCTTCATTTAACTCAGAGGTTTCAGACTTTCAGCAAATCAAGCATCTCACCAGCCTTTATCAAAATACTCAGAGCCATGCTAACAATAACCCAAATAACCCTTTCCTAGGCAACCTCCTGGACCAAGCACTCTCCAAGTAAACCTTGATGCTTCTCTCTGTCAGAACTCTCACCATGTAGGTATGGTGAAGTGCACAGAAATTCAGCGGTCTATTGGATACGTAGTTTCCAGAGAAAATCCAGATTTACCAGTGCTGATTTGGAAGAACTCCTGTGCCTAAGTGCAGTAATTTTAAAGGATGGTGCAGTGCCATCCTTGCTTCAAATTGTAATATCTTGGTGGAATAAAAAAAACGACTAATTAGATTAGTGGAGCCACAAAGGTATCCAAAATGAAAATCCTTTGCGAATTTTGGTTACCAAATTGGAAATATACAAATATAGGTCACAAAAGTAAAATTTAGCCTAACATCAAGAACCTTAAGTGGAACTTCTTCCAAAATAAATCCCTCCTAAACTTCTCTAACTTTTAGGTGACCTACTTTCCTCCAGAAAATGTAAAATTAATTTGTGTGCATACATCTAAGTTATGCAATAATGAGACTTGAACACTGAGAATCCATTTCTCAAATTAGTGATTTTGAACAGATGATGAAATCAATGTGCATAACAATATTGAAATTTATCAAGAAAAAGTTTTGTTCAAGTACCTTACCAATTTAGCGAAATTTCCAGCAGTCAATGGTGCCGAATATCCATCTATTACAACCTGAATGAATGCATCATTGATAAGCTAAGTATGATAGTAACAAAAAGAAACAACTCACAAGCAAAGAATTTAATTACATGGCATAGAAGTGAAATTCTCAACTATTCAAATTGAAATCCTACATCAACTATAAGCATTCCTTTAATACTTATGTGCAGGTGCTACATGATCTGTGCATGATGTATCCATATGATTATAGCCCCTTAAAAAGAGGCAGATAATTATACAGAAGGCATTATAAATTGGATCCCTCAACAAGGAAGAGCGCCTGGAGTTTCAAACTTTAATAGATGCTTTCACCCTATATAAGTTGATAGTTCCTTTCACTGATTGAAACATTGTGAGTTTCAAGAAGCTCAAAAGAAACAGTTTGAAGCGTACCAAATGGTAGATCAAATATCTGACTTTTAGGTGCACACGAGTCCAAAAATGTTAAATGAGCAGAATACACGAACTGAACTAGATAATCAGGTTGCATTATTGGATTCTTATTAGTGCTTTACAAGAGAGATTTAGTACAGAGTTAGTACCTGAATAGTAGCTGTATTTTTGGCTTCACCTCCAGCTTGAGGAGTAAACGTAGAACCCTCTCCTTTTTCAATAGTAAATTCAACTGTTCCTCGCCCATTTAGCCTAAAGACCAAAAGCACAGATTTAATACAGAAGAGAACGTAAAAAAAAAAAAAAAAAAAAACCAACTTTATATCCATTGCTTCAAAAGCAGTGGATCAAATTCAATTGTCAAAAAATGAGTTTATTAATTAAGTAGCAGGAGCACTAATCAATAAAAATTCTTCCTCTTTCCTTCCACCAACAATGAAAAAGGCAAAAAGCTGACAAGTAGAAAACATACCTTGGATACTGTGAATATTGCTGAGGTAATAAAAACGATATTCCTGGAGCCTGTTGCAATCAAAACATGTTAAATTTTTGCCATCTAGTTGAAGCCTTCCCATGGAAGCATAGAAATTACAGCTCACAATCAAGTAAATTCAGAAGAAATATAATATAGTCATTTTATGTGACGGAATGAGAACAGGACAGATAGCATGATGAGACCTCGCTCACTAAAGGCTATGGCATGCTTTTAATAGAATCCGTTGCACGATGAAACTACGAAGGTCGGTACTAGAACCCCAGCAGTGAAACAGGTGGCAACTAACGGAAGCACTTCTTCAAGTCTTAAAAAACATTTGATCTTGAAGCATTCGGATAATCTTGGATATTATGATTGATTTGAATTGCAATATCCCAAGAGGTGAAGAAACAGAATAGAACAGAAGCTGTTTCTAGCTATATCATCTAAATCATAAGCTTAGATCTCTACATATCTCAGCAAATTAATTAGACCCCTATGGTTTCTCTCATGAATCTTGGATGACTAAGTGTTTGGAATGCATTCAAGAGTATACAGCAGCTTTATTTACAGAAGTGAACTTTCCAGCCAAACACTATTATTTCTCACTTTCAAAGTTCTATGAATATATGATGGCACAAATAGAAAAACTTAAAAATGCATTCTCAGATGTTTCGAAACAACTATATCACTACATGTCACTCAAGTGCTTAAATTTCAACTTTTCAGTAGAATAACTATCAATATTCAATGATACCTGTAGCAGCTCCAATTCTGCAACTGTATCCAATGAAGATGCGAGGCCCACTGATACTCTATCAGCATCCTTTTCTTTTATGCAATCGAGAAGTGATCGCAAGCCCCCCTACAAGAAAAAGCTGAAGAAAGTTGTAAACTAGTTTTTCATAACATAAACTAGAAGAAGAAGCCAGCTTCAGAGTAATGGCTAGAGCATGGCCGTGCACCCCTGTTTGGACTGTGAGGCAAAACAACACAAATGCTCTATTTGCCATTCCCTGATGTTGTGCATACTGACCAAACACAACTATGCTCAGGAGGAACAACTGTGCCTTACCTGCAATTCATTGGAGTCTTAAGGCATGAACAGACTGTGCTGAATCTGGCACAACACCCCCCTTCCCCCTTGCTCTATCAAGTGACGACTATTTTTAAGTTTTCGGGAATTTCCCCTTCATACATTAAGCCTTGCCACCATTCAATTGACAACAAGTAATTATTTTTTTACGTTTCTAGGTTAGCTACTAGCCACTCGATTTTCATCTTTTGTAGCCACTTTTAAGATAAGAGAAAGTTCTCTTCTCTGTAATCTAGTTTTTCAAGTACTTTAAGTTGCTTATAGTATCCACAATGGTTGTGCATAAGGACCTGCTAGCAATTTCCAAATAATTGCTAGCTACATGCTAGCCATTGTGGAGCTACAACCTCTTGTAGCTAAGCCAAACTACATAGCTCTGTAGCTATGTAGTTTCACTCCACCCAATGCTATTATATTTATTTGTTTAATATATTTTATGTGTTTGTTAATATATTTATTTATTTTATGTCATCACGTGGGACATAATAAAATTACAAAATAAGTAGCTTGCCATTGTAGAGGTTGTAGCTTAAATCATGTAGCTTGAGAAATAATGATGTGGCAACCCTTGGCT